TTGTATACACGTGTATCTTCCAAGAAATACAAAGAAAAAATAATAAAAAATAAGATGGACAGAGAGAAAGAGGGAAAATAACAAAAGTTAAATTCCATATTACACATAACGTCCCTTCGATTTGACTCGCTAGGATCCATAATGTGTTTTATATATACAACACATATATACATTATATATAGATGTCCGCATACGTGTACCGGAAAGTTGCGAAAAATTGGCAGACTATACGGAGGATTAATTTCGTTGACTACTTCTTTTATTTTCTTAGGTATTCTTAAGAAAATTGCCATCGCGCCATCACCATTGCCGGATCTCGCAATTTTACCGACAATCTTTATTTTTTTCTTCTCTCTCTCTCTCTCTCTCTCTCTCTCTACCTTTTTATTCCTCATCTTCTTCTTCTTCTTCTTCTTCTTCTTTCTAGTTCTCTTCTCCTTTCTAACTCGCATTTCAATTTACCGCAAACGTTTGTCTTTATTTTTCACGTTAAATATTTCCTATTTCTATATCTTACTTAACAATTTTATTATTATATTCTATTATTTATTTATTACTTATAATATTGTCGTATAATTGATTTGTAATAATTATAAAATATATCAAGAAAAAATTTGTAAATTAGTTTGTTTTTTTTTAAACACCATTCTTCTTTCATGTGTAGGAAAAACGATACACGTAACACAGCGAAACTTAATGAATTGATTATTATTATTAATATTATTTGTTACACTTTTTGTTTATTTTAAATTATGTAATCATGATTATACAATCATTCTCTTTCTCTTCCTAAGATACACACATATGGGATTGAGATACAAATTTTTTTTTATTGAAGATCAAAAACTTGAGTAATTAAAGTAAACGTTTAACTTCACTATTTCTTCCCTTAACACGTATTTCGATTTACGACGAACGTTAGTTAGTATTTATCCGCGTATATTTCTTTTCTAAAAACCCCATATACACAAGAGGCAATCGCGCGTGCGTATACGTACAATGGGAAAAGAAAAATTTTTTTCTTACCAATCGTCAAAAACTCGCCTTAATTATCGATTTACTTCACCTGAACGTTTCACTTCGATATCCAAGTTTTTTCAATAGTACGATTAATTACTTTCCTAGGATTTACGGCCAACTACTATTTCTAAGAAAAATTCTAAAGAACGATTAGTAGATATTTATTTGCCTAACTTGGGCAAAAAGGATTTTCGAGTAAATACGACAAATGAATAAAACATCATGCACGAATGCATTAAATTAAGCAAATAAAGTATCTTACAAAATGCAAACAATTGTTTATTGAAAGAAAAAAAACAAAATAAAATATACACGCTTAATAGAATTAATTCGCAAAAAAGAAAAAAAAAAAACAAAAGTTAAACGATAAATATTTTATCCATAATTTCCATCAATCTTTTTCCCAAAAATGTCTTCTCAAAAATATCGTTGAACACGAACTCTCAAATCAACACCCAAAATTATCGTACAAACAAACAAATTTATTAAATTAACAATGAAACCTTTAAAACTCATTTAAGTTAACGCATCAAATAAACGATCCGAAAAATCTAAATGAGCCACCTTACCCCTACCACTAGTCCCGTATTTCGTGATTTCTAACTTATACCTTACCTAAAAAAAAATCCAACAACAAAATATATATGCATATAAAAAGAAAAAAAAGGGGATGGGGGTAAGAAACAAAAAGTAGAACAAGAAGAAGGAATTTCCTTATATTATTATTATACATATATATCATATAATCCACTTAGTGATTTCTAATCTATACCTAATGTAAAAAATATCCAACAAAAAACTATATACATAAAAAAAAAGAAAAGGGAAAGAGAGAGATGGTAAGAAACAAGAAGAAGAATAAGAAGAAGGAATTTCCTCTTATTCGAAAACTACAGTTACCTCTGACCGTCGATCTAACACCGATCCGTTACGCAAGAAACTCCGTGGAAACGCTCGTGCCTGCTGTGTTTCCTCCTCCTCTTCCTCCTCCTCCTCCTATCCCATCACCAATACCACCTATACCTTCCTATACCTCTTTTACCTCCTTCTATCACAGTACCACCTCCTCCTCCTCCTTCTCCTCCTCCTACAGGGGCAGCATGGAACGCGCGTTACGTGCGGTTTCCGTAAATTGCTACGTGCGAGTCCGAACCCCTGCTCGGATTCTCCGGAGTTCAGAGAAAAAGATAAAAAGAATGAGATAAAGAAAGATAGGAAAAAAAGGGGGAGAGTCGGGGGTGCTGGTGGAAAGGAAGAACCAGGGGCATGGGCATGGGCTTGGGCAGGGGTAAAGGGGGAAAGAGGAAAGCTGAAGAAGAAGAAGAAGAAGAGACAGGGAAGGGGATTGAAGAATGGTGAAGAAATACAGGGGTGTGGGGTAAAGAGAGGGAATGAAGTAAAAGAAGAGGGCCGATCAGGCAACAGCCGCATCTCCTCTTTTCTTGAAGAATATAAAGTGAGATAGAAAATACCGATCTCGCGTGTCGCTGAGTTACGCGGAAACGCGGTCCCATACTCGTCGTCCATGGTGTATACTACTCTCCAACACGAACGGGGAAAGTCAGCTATGAAAAATCATGTCTTATAGTGTTATGGCTATGATATGGCTAACATAAGTTGTACACGGAAACCTCAGGCTGCTTTCTGAGAGAAAACGTGATACCTTCGTGTTCTTCGTCTTTATCCTTTTTTTTTTCCTTTTTCTGTTTTTCTTTTTTTTTTTTTTTAACCAACAAGTGTGAATTATCTACGTTTGGATGGAAAAATATTAATGAAAAAATAAGAATAGGAAGAAGAAGAAGTAGAAGAGGATGATGATGATGATGATGATGATGATTATGATGATGAGGATGATAAGGATGATGATGATGATGATGTGGCAAACAGGGTTTCTTAAAAAGTAAGGATTCGTAATGTTTTCGTCTAATTTCTTTACACACATTTCCTCGAACGTGATTTTCCTAAAGTTGAGTATTCAAATTCTTTTGGGTTATAATTGGAAGATCGTCGGGGATCATTGTTTCGTATGATTATTTGGAAAGTTTGTTCTAAAAGTAACTCTTGTAACGTTTAGGATTTCGTATTTTTTGTATTGTTTTTTTTTAAGTTACTGTGGGTTAAATTATACAGTGTTTTATGGTCGGATCAACTAGGTACATGATCGTGTTCTTCTAATTGGATTTTATTTCGATAAGTGAATATGAAACGAGTGAAAGCTTGTAAAGATATTATTTCTTAGTATTTTAATATTACAAAAATCTAAAGAAAAAAATTTATAATTCTAATTCGATTTAATAAAATACATTGAGACGATTTCAAATTATTATATTTTGTATGATGAATACAATGAGATATTAACGACTAAAGTAACAAAAGTAACGATTTGTTTAATTTAAAATCACTATAATAGAAAAAGTCAATTCTTTCGTAGTTATTTTTTATCATATAATGAATAAAAATTATACACTATCAACGGACTTAAACGCAAAGCATTATTTTAAACACAAGTATTATTTTAATTACGACTATTTATTGTTTTAAAGGGTTGTCGATGATTGGGATCATTTACAAGTGTTGTCATCTATCCAAGAATTCGTCAAGTTTTTTCCTGGGTCGAAACAATCAACACCATCTATTTGAATTCTTTCGAATTTTTTCAAACAATTTTGACCATCGGTAAATTCGAAGTTCTTTATACTTCACACAAACCAACTACACAATTGGATAAAACAGTTCTTACGTTCTATCGATAAAATAGAACTCACAAACGTTTTATGTCGAGTAAAAGGTTAGTTTTTAACTCGGTCGGTAAAAACGAATATCTTTTACTAAGATTTCGATATATCCACCTACGATTTATGAATCATTTTTTAATAACAACAATTGATTATTTGAGAATAAAATTTAGACGATATTAACAAACAAAATTGAATTTAAAAATAGATATATTTGATATAATATTTGGTTAACATTCAAATCAAATATTTCTAATGATAATATTCTTAATGAATAGAAATCTAACCAAAAAAATTAATTAATTTACTCAATTTTTTTTTTAAATTTATCGTTTCTATATCGATCAGCATATTATTAACAAAAAGAAATATTATTATAAGAAAGATGTTCTTGTATCTTTGTCCGAAGAATATTGTATCAATTTTTCAAAGAAAAGATCGCGTGACCGAACGGCAACCCTTTCATTTTATTTGTTCCATTTTATTTTTCCCCTCTCTCCTTCCCCTTGTTTCTTATTTAAACCGTTTTTTCTTTTCTCTTGTTCACCAAACGATTATTATTACGAGAATTACAACAAATTACGAAAAATTGTAGTTGGGAACTCGTGTACCTCTCGTTGCACCTGCATCATCATCATCATCATCATCATCGTCGTCATACATACACAATGCAAATAAGAAGCTACACTGAGTTTGACACTTTGACAGTTCGAATTGACGTAAAATTAGAGAGAAAGAAAGATATGTCTCGTTTAATTTTATACTTTACTAAAAACATATCGCGTGAAATGAAATGTTATTTTACATAATTTGTTAAAAACCGGAAAGGCCAAACATTGTTGAGTAAATGCACATCTAAATACGTAAACATTTTTTTTTTTATATAATTATGCACATTTATATTGAAATATGTGCTAATCGAAATGAAGTAACGATATTTATGATTGTAATATGATCAAATAATCTTAATTATAAAAAATAAATTATTGTGTAATAGGGTTTACGTTAAATCTAAAATTAATACAACGATAATTATTATAATTTTGTTTGTAGTAGTAAAGTTATTGTTGCTAAAATATATTAACAAATATATAAGAATTGTTTGATTTAAATAATATTGAATACATAACCGTTTAATATTTTCCAAGCACCAATTTTAATAAAAAAAAAAAATACTATTATCAAATAACTATTATCAATATATTATTTCATTCTTAACGAATAAATATATAGATTTGTTTTTAACTTTCTAATTGTTTTTAATCGGAAACCTCTTGGTCGGTCCGTTTCTTCCTCGTCCAAATTTCATTCGACATGCTGTTATATTTTAATAGTTAAAAAAATATTTAAAAAATACTGAACGTATTTATTTGCAAATATATAAATATAATCTTCATAACAATTAATTATAATTATGAAAAACTTACTCTTCCAAAGGATCTTTCGAATATCCTGCTAAAGTTCGCCACAATTCCCTAGGCCCTTCGATGGCAAGTGGAAAATTTTGCCAAGAATAAGATTCTAAAGTTTAAATTAACAAATTAAAATCCAACAATCGTTGCATTTAAATAAAACAAATTAACTTACGATCCATCAGAGAATAATCCAAACGTCTCTTAAGTGGCTTAGCAAAGTGTTCCGAATTTTCATGCAATTGCCAAGACTGCGATGACTTCGAAATAAAATTTTAAACAATGAAATAACAATTAATAATAAATATTCTAAAAAAGAACTAAAATATAATTACACGTACTTTCGAATTATCCTGATATTTTCCTGTATTAGGATTATTGTTGGTAAATTTTGAATAGAAATCATCAAACTTTTCGCTTCGTCCAACTCGTGGAATGTTTTTAGCAATTTTTAAAAAAAATGCTGGAACCTCGTCAGCTTCCACAAAACTATCCACGACAAATAATATCAAAATTGATCCAACAAAAGCTATAAAATAAAATCAAACGATTTAACGTAAGTTCAATTTAATGTATTAAAATAAAAATGAACATAACATTTTTGTTATTAATTAAACGTACCATTGAAATATAATTTCCTTGGCCAATCGCGTGATCGAGTAACAAACGTCATAGTGTGATAATTAAAATTATCTGTGTGTCTATTGTTCAATAAACAAAAATTATTATAAATTATTAAGTGCCTGCAGAAAAGTATCATTTTTATATCAAACGAGATTGTTAAAGAATTTTGAAAGATTTGTATGCGTGTGTGTGTATCGTTTAATCGATAGTTTTGCATATTTAAATTTGTTTAAAACGTACCTGTACTTTTTTCGAATTTCAGGAATATACTGTAACGAGTGAGCTACGAAATTCTGCGTATTTATACTCGATTAGAATCAAATTAAGTATTTTAATCATGTATCAGTTGTTAATCGATTTCACCCACATAATATTTGATCAAACTGAAAAACTTTAGTCATTGCAATTATTGATTAAATTTCAATAATATTATATTCTACAAAAATAAATATATTTAATTGATTTCATTAGTTTTTATGATTGTTAGAATATTTTTAATATGATTATGAGAAATGCAACATATTATAATTTAAATCTATATGATTGAAGTATTATAACAAATAATTAAATAATGAAATATCATTTATTTAAATAATAAAAATACTTGTGTGAATTGAAAAAAGTTTTCTATTCGACTAACAAAAGTATAAAATGTATGAAATATTTTGCAAATAATAACAAAAATTGTAGACGATCGAATAAAAATTCGATATTTTATTCATTGATTAAATAATTTTTAAAAATATTTGAATATAAAATAAAACGTCAATACTTTTTCAATCGAAACGAATATACTAAAATCGATAACCCTCATCGTGTTAGTTGAACGATACGTGCTATCAGTTTCAAATGATACTATTTGTATATTTTAATGTGTTTCTCCAACACCATTAGAATTTAAATGAACTTATATTTAATTTACTTATAATAGTAATAATATATCAGAATGTGAGAGGTTAGATATGTTATATATATTGTGTTAGTAGATGATTACATTTATTCAGATTTTTACATAAAGAAGATCATGTTGATTAGAAGCAAGTTATAATTAGTTATTGATTATTCCTGTTTATCTGGATAACCAGGCGTTGCAAGCTTCGCTGGCAATTTCGCACATTGCCGAAAGTGCACGGTTGACTACTTCGGCATCTGCAATCATTCAAATAAAATTTTCTTTAAGATTTTATATACATATATATATATATATATTTTTATCTCGATAACAATACGAGAAATGTAGATCGATGATATTTTAAATAATTAATAATACAGTTTCGTCAAAACATATTTAAACGTAAGTATAGTTCAATATAAATTTTCTCGTACATGTATATCGTTGAATATTACGAGTAATATGATACCTTATATGAGTAACAGTATTATTTTTAATATTACTACTTTAGTATTAAAACTTCTTTAGTTTTATAAATGTAACTAGTATTAACATTTATAAAATGCCAAAAACATTCGATTAAATCAATACGAAATAAGATTTAATCATTTAGTAATAATCATGCACAAATATGTTTAATTAAAAATTAGTATTTTTCTTTACCAGATTCGGAGTTGGATCGTTTTCCAAAAATGCTACCATTGAAGGGTGGTTTTTTGTATCCAGCCTCAACGGCAAACACAAGGATGGAAACAACGAAGAAGATGGCGAGAACAAAACGAATGGCAACCATTTTGAATGATGTGTTTTTTTGAGGTTAACCTAAAAAAAAAACAAAAGATATCGTTGATCCACGATAAATCAAATCAAATTTATACACGTTGTGTAGAATTAATTATGAAGAAATAAAACAAACGACAAACCAAGGTAAATAAGAAAAGAAAACTTTGTTTAACGAGGAATAATACAAAAATCTAAAGAAATATAATTAGACGATTAACACTTAAATCTCAAAATTTGTACGAATTAAAATATTTCAACACTTTCTTACTCGTTCAAAGAATCTGTTGTGATACTTCAACGAAAGTCAAACACTTAATGTTGGAAATCTAAGAAAATCTCTGTCTTTATATACTCTTGTGAATAAGATTGAAGATAAATCTTTCTATCAAAACCAGATATGGACCATTATATGCAAAGAAATTTAATCAATAAGTATTTCTTAAACTAAAACATATACCGATTCATTGATATATGTCAATATTCCGAATACCAACGTATGAGGCATATATTAAAAGGTTATGGTTATTTCATTTTAAGTATAGAAATAAAGAAAGTATTAAAATTCAAATCGTTGCGAGTGACGTTTCGATAAATGAGTTTGGCCTTCGTAGAAAAGATTTCATTTTTACAAATACATGCCATTTGTATATTCCGTTTAGAAATATTTCTGTGTGAATATTCCGAATAACAAATGAATTTTATAATTATTATTATTATTATATGTATAAAAATGTTTGAATAAATACCTGAAGATGTGGTTCTTGTTGTTGCTTAGAGAAAGCTCTGAGAAACTGAACTGATGCTTTCTTACAAGAAATCTTAGCTTTTATAGGAATCTGAAAAATACCACAGGGAAACGAATAATAGGGTGTCAAAATTGCATTAGAAGTTATCAGAACTGTAATATAATTTCGATGGCTCCTAGGATTGATTTTTACCTCATGGGAAATAATATACCCTTTCTTAGCGTTTAGAAGAATTCTAATAATAATAATATATCTTGTTACTTTATTAATTTAATTATTGAATAAAACGTAGCAGACGAATATTTTTCATTTGTTACAATAATATTTAAACATATTCGAGTAAAAAAAAAGGAGTGGTCGCGTTGTTCGCATTACGATTTGTAAAGTTTTAGAATATTAAATCAAATTTCGTAATGCAATATGCATTTAAAATGACGTCATTACGAATCTGATCATTTTTAAATAAATATATAAACACTTTAGATGTTCACAAATGTAGATAATTAAATACTTTGCACAAATATATATACAGAAATTTCTTAAAACAAGATACATATATCATACAAGATAAATATATGTGCAAAAGATAAAATAGAGTCTCTGCTAGTATATCATACGTCGATAATGAAACAATAGAAAATCAATTTTGTATGAAATAGTCGATAAGGTAGTTCTCATAATCACTTCTGCAGAAAAACAAAAGAATACAGAAGTACAAAGAAGCACACAAATCCCCTATTTTATCCAACTAAATTCATCTTATTGTTAGAGTGTGAACGAATTTTTTGTTAAACTTTATATTAAATTAAAGTACACTCTTTTCCCTACGCGTAATAAACTTTGTCGAGTTTTTAAATTTTGCATGTAAAGTTCAGGAATAAATTGCAGCATTCATTGCACCAAAAATATTAGATTAAAGTTATTTAATTTTTAAAGTATGATAATAGAGATACGTAACATTTAAAACAATTCGTAAGAAACATTATCAATTAAATATAAAGTGATATCTTATTAATCATTCTTTAGAAAGAAAGAGCCTATTACAGATCCCAAGTTGAATTTCAACAATTTTAGACTAGCCCTGGTATCTGTAAATACATAAAAGTTATTAAAAAAACATTATAAAGTAATTAGTTTCTCTATTATAAATGGATAGAAGGAATCAAGGAAAGGAGTAAAGGAATATGATATTATTTAGGAAGTTAAAAGAAACTAATTACAATTATAATGTTTATGGTAAGCGGTCTTTGGCTAGATTTTACTTGCAATGTAATGTATAGCATATAAAAATATGATAAACATTACACGRAAAGTAATATCCATTGCCCGGGTCTAACCACGAGGAGGTAACCGCTTCTGAAGACCCACGAGGGATGTGCATCCTGAAGATGTCCACATCCGAATTAAAAATTGAAAAGATATAAGATAATATAATCAAGAATGTTTGTTAAAGAACATAACTCTTCGTCTTCGCCGTAAAAATTTCACCCATTCGCGACTAACACTCTTCGACGTTTACATGTCAAAGTCTAAAAGAAAATTGATTAAAAAACAATAGAAGTTATCGGTGAATTTGATGTTAATGTATTGGTTCAGTAACGAAATTAGGTTTAAAAAAAGTCATCTAAAGAAACATAAAATAAAAATATATTAAAATTATTTTTAATTTATAGTACGTTAATAAGCATGTAATATTTAAACTATTACATATGTATTGAAACAAGCTGAAATATAAAAAGAGTGCATCAAAGTATTAAAATAATTATTAAATAATCGATAGAAGTTTCTTTTATTGTTAAAAAGCTCGGAGTATACGTGCTGTCAACCGTCTTCCTCGAAATTCACCTTGATACTGGCACTTTCTCTTTGATGAAAATTCTTTTATTAAAAGTTCTTTACATGACTTTCCGCGCGTTGCGCATGTGTACAAAAGAAAAATTCGTCTAATCAATGTAATTTAAGATTAAAACGATCTGATTTTAGCATTTCTTCGTTTTTATGTAATTATTTAAACCAACGTACATTTGTTTTAACGTTCCTGTGCAGTGATGATTTT